GTCGAAACCGAAAAGGCGAGAAAGTCAACAACATGAATTTCCCTATCCGTAGCCATTTTGGCTCAAGTCATTGATTTCAGACATATTGAACACATCGGTACCGTATTGTGTCCCATAGCATGTTGCCGCGAACGCGCCTTGCGACATCTCGGTATGGAGTGGTGGAATTGATCAAGCTATTGACTTTTCTTCCACTTGCGGCGTCATTGGCGCTGCCCTCAGTCGCTTCTCGTCGCGAATGTAAACCGAATGAGACAACAAATTATTCAATTCGTTACGGCGCGAAGCCTTCAGGGAGTGGCAACTTATGGGAGTACTACCACTTCTTGATCGATTTTGCTCCAGCTGTGTTGCACTTCGTGCGCAACGACAGCGCGCCCTGCAAACGTTTGCAGGTACCAGGCTGGAACGGAACAAACAAGTTCCATTTGGCGTTGCCGGGCCAGCCGCAGAGGAGTTTGGAAGCGCATTTCGAATTCCTCTTGGGGCAGCCGTTGGGTCTTACCATCGAAGTCGCCAGCAGCTTCGAGGCCTTCGCGAAGAACGCCAGGACGTCGGGGCAGGTCGATTGGGACTGCCACGGCGCAGGCCGGAAGAATCAGTGGGCTGGATTCCCCGCAGAATATTTCGTGGAGTTCCGGGACCACGCCTGGGGCCTGCCCGGCGTGCCGCCAGCCCAGCACCGGGACGTCGTCGCCGTGAGGCGCGAACGCCTCCAGAACTATAAGGGTCCACCCACGGGGTGTTCTCGTCGATGCCTGGACGAGCGCTTCTACGATCGCCTGCTTGAAGTTTCGCTGTCGCACGACTGGGACACGGCCGTGGTGGCGCTGGAAAATCAAGCTATTGCCGACCAGATCGCGTTGTTCTCGCATGCGAGTGTCATTATTGCGCAGCATGGCGCCGCGCTGTCGAACATAATCTTTGCACCTCCAGGAACGCTGACCGTCGAGGTGGGAAAGGCCGACTTTCCATGCTACAAGACGTTGTCTGCCAAACTTGGGTTGCCGTTTCTCCATTTCGATACGGATGAGTTTTCAGATGACATTGCACAGGGCATCTCGACAGCATTAGCGGATGACGTCGCCAGAGGCGACAAGCAGTTAAGAGAGCTTCGCGACGTCATCGGGCGATTCGTGCTGCCGCTCGATCCAGATCAGCGCGCCTCCCATGTGCGTTGCCCCGATTTTGCAACGTGCGTGGGGCAGCAGTTCGGGCAATAGCAGAAGTCGCGACGACGCAGCCAGAGCCATCTACAGTTTCCTCGGTCGAGGCTGGAGTGAGGACGTCGCCGTGGCTCGAGTGAGACAGCCCTCCATTTCATGGCAGGCCTAGGGGGCTAGGCTGGGGAGCACGACAAGCTCTCCGGCCTGGCCCTCTTTCTCGCTCCTCCTCTCCTTCGGAGCCCCGCGCAGGGGAAGTCTCGAGCGCGCGGCGGGAATGCTTGCGCCGCGTCGCTCTGGGGCTTTGGCCGGACTCCCTGGCCAGAGCCCGACACATGTAGGGTCGGAGTCGGTCCGATTATGTATCGATTCTGGCTGGCTTCAGAATTCGAGCCGGATATTCCGACGATCTGATACGGCCCCTTCTGTGCATGGCGATGTCATGCATCTTCGCGCAGCCGAACCAATGCAAGCCAATTTCTCGATTCAATGCCACTTGTACGTACCAATGATGCTTCGTCTTGGTGCGAGCCACGAGTGACGAGCATGTCGAGGAGAGAGCCGAACAAAAAACATGTTTAAACAAATAATAAAAAACAACAACAATAATAATAATAATAATAATAATACTAATACTAATAATAATAATAATAATAATAATAATAATAATAAATAACAGCATGAATTTCCCTAAGGTTTTGGAAGGACTTCGGCCTCTTTGGGGCCTCCTGGGGGAGCGCTTTGGCCACTTGGAGCCGTCTTGGAGCGGTCTTGGGGCCTCATGGAGCATCGTGCGAGCCATATTGAGGCATCTTGATATCTTGAGCCATCTTGGAAGTCATCTTGGGCTCTCCACAGGGAGCTCCACCGAAGGCCCCACTGGCAGGGTTCGCGTGGCGGCCCCGCCTCACTTTGGCACTCCCCTCACACGGTTCGTGGCCCCACAGGGAGTTCCACCGAACGCCCGAGTGGGATGGTTCGTGCCGCGCTCAGTGTCACGGCAGTTCAGAGTCTGGAAAGTTGCCACGATCGCAAATTTTCAGAGCGTTGTTGTCAGCGGCTTTTGTTCCCAACCATCCTGTGGTGTTGGATCCTCGTTTTGAAGGGACAGCGCCCACGTTCTCTTTCCCTCCTTCCTTCTCCTCCCGCTGCCTCCCACGTACCTCTTTCCTCCCGTGCGTTTCACCCACCCAGTACAGCGTTTCGTGGCCCCATAGGGAGCTCCACCGAAGGCCCCAGTGGCAGGGTTCGCATGGCGGCCCCGCGCCATTTTGGCGAACCCCTCACACGGTTCGTGGCCCCATAGGGAACTCCACCGAGGGCCCCAGTGGCAGGGTTCGCATGGCGGCCCCGCCCCATTTTGGCGCACCCCTCACGCGGTTCGTGGCCCCATAGGGAGCTCCACCGAAGGCCCAAGTGGCAGGGTTCTGCGCCATTTTGGCGCACCGTCACACGGTTCGTGGCCCCATGAAGGGGGTTTCACTGAAGGCCCCAGTGGCAGAGTTCGCATGGCGGCCCCGCCTCATTTTGGCGCACCCCTCACACAGTTCGTGGCCCCACATGGAGCTCCACCAAAAGCAGTTGCAGGGTTCGCATGGCGGCCCAGCCCCCCAGGAGGCTAAACTGTGGCCAACACCGTCGTATCATCAATGCTGTTGGCATTCTCGCCGAGGCCTCTTGGAGCGTCTTGGGTGCCTTTGGGGGGCCTCTTGGGGCCTCTTGGGGGTCTCTTGGGAGCTTCTTTGGGGCATCCTGGGGGCCCCATTGAGGGCCTCTTGGGGCCTCCTGGCCACCTCTCGGGGCCCTCTCCGGGCACCCTTGAGCGCCTTGGGAGCGCTCTTGGGGCCATCTCGGAGGGGATCGATCAAACAAGAGGGACACTTACATTAGCCCCCCCCCAAGATGCCAATATGGAACCCAAGCGCTAGTAAAACCAATGATTTTGGCTTCCTCGCCGAGGCCGTTTTGGACGCTCCGACCGCTCGCAGAAAGCCCCGTCCAGGTCCAGGGGAGGGGGTAGGGGGAGGGGTCAAGACCCCCTCCCCGCCCGCAAGCCGTCTCGCTCACTCCCACCCGCCCTCCCAACACATACGTAGCACCCGAGTCTGGCCTGAGCCTCAGCATATTCAGCAGTCGTCTTTGGATGGACAGATACTGGGGGCCAATCCGCCGCCGCCGCCGCCGCCGCCACCTCCGCCGCCGCCGCCGCCGCCGCCGCCGCCGCTGCCAAACCGCCGCCGCCGCCGCAGCCGCTGCCGCGACCGCCACCGCCGCCGCCGCCGCCGCCGCCGCCGCCGCAGTCGCCGCCGCCGCCGCCGCCGCCGCCGCAGCTGCCGCAGCCGCCGCCACCGCCGCCGCAGCCGCGGCAGCCGCCGCCGCCGAGTGTATTCTGCATTGTTACCTAACAGCTCTTGCTGATAGGTTTCTAGTGGTCTCAGAAGAGAGCAGCAGATGGGGGTCGGGGCGGGACCCGGACAGGCTGCCGCCGCGGCTGCCGCCGAAGCCGAAATCGCTTGGGACATCCTCGCAAAATCGCTCTTGGTGCTCCCAGAACTCCATTCCCGGGCCACATTTTGGATGCCCGGAGCCAACTGTAGGCCACTTCGTGCTCTTCGACTTCCCAGAACTCCATTCCCGGGCCACATTTTGGATGCCCGGAGCCAACTGTAGGCCACTTCGTGCTCTTCGATTTCCCAGAACTCCATTCCCGGGCCACATGTTGGATGCCCGGAGCCAACTGTAGGCCACTTCGTGCTCTTCAAGTTCCCAGAACTCCATTCCTGGGCATGATTTTGAATGCCCGGAGCCAACTGTAGGCCACTTCGTGTTCTTCTAGTTCCCAGAACTCCACTCCTGGGCCACATTTTGAATGCTGAGGCAGGCTGATGCTGCGGCCGAGGCAGGCTGAGGCTGAGGCAGGCTGAGGCTGAGGCCGAGGCTGAAGGCAGACTGAGGCTGAGGCTGAAGCAGACTGAGGCTGAGGCTGAGGTAGGCTGAGGCTGAGGCTGAGGCTGAAGCAGGCTGATGCTGAGGCAGGCTGAGGCTGAGGCTGAGGCTGATGCAGGCTGAGGCTGAGGCAGGCTGAGGCTGAGGCCGAGGCTGAAGGCAGACTGAGGCTGAGGCTGAAGCAGGCTGAGGCTGAGGCAGGCTGAGGCTGAGGCAGGCTGAGGCTGAGGCTGAGGCAGGCTGAGGCTGAGGCTGTGACTGCGACTGCCGTTGCCGCTGCGACTGTCATCGCGAATGCGACTACGACTGCGAGAACAGCAGAATTCTACAACTGGATTGTCATCTGAATCTTAAGGGGAATGCTTTCAGATATGCTTCTACACGTCGCTGTTAGGTTGCTTTGCCGGGATATTTACCTAACAGCGAAGACTGATAGGTTTCTAATGGGCTAAAAAGAGAGCAGCAGATGACTCCACAGGGGGGTCTGGGCGGGTGCCGGACAGGGTGCCGCAGAAGTCGTTTTAAGCCAATTGTCACACACTTCGTGCTCTTCGACCTCCCAGAACTCCATTCCCGGGCCACATTCTGAATGCCCGGAGCCAACTGTAGGCCACTTCGTGGTCTTCGAGTTCCCAGAACTCCATTCCCGGGCCACATTCTGAATGCCCGGAGCCAACTGTAGGCCACTTCGTGGTCTTCGAGTCTCCAGAACTCCATTCCCGGGCCACATTTTGAATGCCCGGAGCCAACTGTAGGCCATTTCGTGCTCTTCGAGTTCCCAGAACTCCATTCCCGGGCCACATTTTGAATGCCCGTAGCCAACTGAGGCTGAGGCAGGCTGCTGCTGAGGCAGGCTGAGGCTGAGGCTGAGGCAGGCTGAGGCTGAGGCAG